GGGTAGAACCACAAATTGGACGTGAACAATTTTTTTTTTCATGAAAAGGAGTGCACGACAGGCCCGATAGTGGCCTAGGTGTATTTCTTCGTATTTGATGTAGTAGACATCCTTCTAACAACCTAACCTAATTATTGTGGCCTCCGGTAGGTTAGTGGTTAGTGTTCTAGTCTGGTAGACCGGAGGTGGTGGGTTCGATTCCCACCTGAGGCACTGGTTAAGGAGCGCACAACAGGCCCGATAGAGGCCTAAGTGTATTTCTTCGGATTTGATGTATATTCATCCTCCTTTCAAACTAACTAACTAACTAACCTAATTATTGGTGTTGATTGTTCTAAAAAAATGGAAAAAAGTATTTTTTTTACAAATTTTGAAATTGTTGGTACACAGTGGGAAAAAACATTTTAAAATTATACACTCTTGGTTTATAATTTCCCAATAACAGCCGTTGTCAAAGTATGTACGAATAGTTGTCAAATCAACAACAAAAATATGAAAAATACATGACGTTATCAAATCAACAACAAAATCTATATAATTAATAGGCAAGACGATTTTGTGTGACCCCTTATACTCTTACAATACACATCTGATCTTGGCAAAAAATATATCATTTTAAAGGTATTTGTTCACAGATGTGCACAATATATATATATTCAGAATTCAGAATTTTAGGAGCTATAAGCGTTTAAAGTTGTTACTAGTACATATAAACAATAGTCACACGTACGTATTCTTGAAATTAAAAACAAACAAACAAGAAACAAAACAAAAAAGTAAACAACACGGCCAGGGATGGAAAATGAGATTTTGTGTCAGTATCAAAAAATATTTCAGAGGGTACTTTTTTGGATCTCAAAGTACTAAAATATTTTTTTTGCTAAATGATGGCAATTTCTTAACTACATTTATTTTTTTTAAACAATCCATAACAGAAGTAGAAAGGCATTATATGTTAATATGATGTATCCTTGTCCGTCCCTTAATGTTCACCTTTTTACATCTCAAATATTAGCCAGATATTGTACTATGTAAATATCTTAAATTTAAAGCTGTCATGATATAATTTATTATATTTTAATAAATCCGGCATTAATTAAAATTAGGCCACATTTCGCCCTATAAAAGGACGAATTTAGAATTTCAACTTAATGCTAATAATTGAGCTACAAGTATTAGAATCGACTGTTCATTGTCAATAAATCGCTTAAATATGTGTTGTTGAATTAAAATCCGTCGTGGGACCTTAAATAGGATATTTACTCGTACATCCGATTATGAATATGACATGAAACAATAATTTGCTTAAAAGTCCAAATATTTTTGACCTAAAACTTCTTATATTATCTTTGGTTAAATGCTTAGTTTCAAAACATATCGTTTTATAGTAGATTGAATCCTTCGAGTTCCTATCGTTTGGAAATCATTTGTTTTAAAGTCAAATATTATTTCAAAATTTAAATTTCTGGTAATTTTCTCATAAAATATTAACAGTGAAATTTTAATAAGATTAATATTCATATAATGTCAATCAATATAAAAATATGTACAACTTTATTAGCCGTTTATAATTTTATTATTATTTTTTTTAGAAAAAACGGCTTTTAGTTGATGCATTTTTGAGAATTTATATAACAATGTGCTACACTCTTATACATTTTTGTTTAAATTTACACTATTTATTGTAGGTAACCAGACTCCTAGTATAATTAGTGTAAAAATACATGTTCAAAAATATTCAAAATTTTTAAACACATTGTATGTAAAAGCCTTTGATACAAAATGTGTGTTTTTACCCTTTTGTATTTATAAAAATGTTTAGCAACATTCCAAAATCGTGTAAATTTAAATTTTTTGTGTTTAAATAAAACATTTTTACATGTAAGTTTAATATTGAATTGTTTAATTGTACATAGAAATGTAAACCTTTAATGTATCACTTTCTATTCAAAAGATTAAAACATATTAAAATTATTTTGAAAGAATGCTTTATTTAATTTTAAAATTACAAAAGAATTATATTTAGATCTCATTTACTTGATGCACTTTCGTATTTAAATGGATTTTAATGTAAATTTTATCTTTATATAGTAAATATTGAGGAATCTTGAATATTCGCATATTTATGGATGGATTACATATGCATAATTTAATGTTCTATTGGAAGAAACCAATGGGAACCAAATGTAGCCACGGAGCACGCACATTAATTGGATTTTTATTCAAATATCCTTCTTCATTCAAACTTGACAACAGCATAATGCAGCATTTGTTTGAGCGATGTCTTGGACTAGTTCATTGTCGATTTAAGTGGACCAAATTAATACAATTTTTTGAATATTTTTGCTATTTGTATTATTTTTTCTATTGCTTCTTAACATAATCTTATTGAAAATGTTTTATTTGTTGAAATATTTTATTTTTTTAAAAATTGTTTGACATTTCAATATTACTCGTCTAAATTAAAATTACACACATTGGGGCTAAAATATAAAATTTAAACACAACATGTGTAATTATAAAGTCGAAATGTTTATTTTATTGGAAACATGTTTATGAATAACCAAAATACTACATTTTATTTGTAGTTTTGCAGGCATAATGTTGTAATTAATTCTTATAAACATTTTATGCTTAAACTTACGCATCTTCTGTAATTTTCGCAAAAAACTTACATACTTTGTAATAGTAATTTTACATGCATATTTTAGAGTGTAAAACACTCTTGGAATTTAAAATTTTAAATATACTTTAACCTGTTATTTTTTATCGAAACGATATATTAAAGGTTTTCATAAAAAAATTCTTTATCTATCTGTTAAACGATAATCGGATATTGTGATTGTGGCCCTGAGAGTATCAAATAAGACTCGGGAGTACAACGGTACTTTTGAACATCAAATAGTATCAAAAAAAGTACCATCGTACCAATTTTGCCATCCCTGAACACGGCTTATTGAAAAAAGAGAAGAGAGTGCAGAAACGTTTTCTTTTTGTATTTTGCATGATATTTGTTTTTGTTGTTTTTAATAAGATTTTTGTAAACAAATATGTCAGTAAACAGGCTTAGGCAAAGCGAAAATAGGATTTTATTGTTTTATATTTTTGTGTAAAGTGCTAAATTGTGAATGAGATAATGATATATTTTGATATAATTTCGTTACGATTGTTACCAAATCGAAAGGAATATTTTTATAATAATTAGGACTTCAGTTTTATATTCAGAGTTTTCGATTGGAGGATTTTCATTATTTAAACTTTTCAAAATAATTTAATTGAAGGACATTCCCGAGGAAACAACGAACTGGGAATATAAAAAGATGTATAAATAATGCTTGGGGACACCTCAAGATATGTCAAACAATGTACTGATATTGGTATTTGACCTGGAAAATATTGGTAGGACATCAGTACGGGAATTCAGTATTTTTTTTTAATTTTAAGCATTAATATCGTAAAGTAATGACAAATATCGGTTACATTAACGAATTTTCAATTCCCTAAATTTTTAACGACCGTATAATATTTTAAAGACAAAGATCGGAAAAATATAACAATGTCAAAAGTTATGCATTGAAATATTTTTAAAATACAAAATTATTAACGTGAACTTTTTATTGCTTTATTATTATTTGATACTTTTCAATTATGTTTAACGAAAAAAAATCGGTGAAAAAAAATTCAGAATACCACATAAAGACAATTATTGTTAACTTAAGAAATTTTACTATTTAACGACAAAATGTTGTAGTGAAAAAAAATACTGAATAGCGGTACATAATTATTAGTTTTGATTGATTTGGAAAATTTAAATGATGGATTAACGAATTGATTCAGTGTCATTAAGTAATAAAAAAAGCCTGTAAAAAAATATAAGTAAAGTTTAGTTGGTCATGCCGGTACATGATACACCGCAAAAAATGGATAGGTATATCGCTTATAGGCAGGTTTAGCACAGTGAGGATTTGATGATATTCTTCTTTTTTTGGTTATTCTAACCAATTAGGAAATAGTAGTGTAAAGTGAAAACTGTAAGTTGAATAGGTGATGGTTATATGTTATATAAAAATAGATAAAACTGCTAGATGAAACTGCTAAATATAAATCATGTCTTTTGGGATAAAGAGTGTTTAACCGTACTTAGCAATTTATCGTTTATTTAATAAATGTAGGTCTGCTGAAGTCTTTGTCGAGTGTTATAAGGGAGAATTTATACAACATATACCTGATAGATTGACTACTAATGACATCCAAATAAAATTTATTTATAATTAGATAAGACATTATTTGTTTTAAATATTTTTATTGTTTTGACAAATTATTTAGAACATTTCCACTCTGTATTTTGAACAGCTAACATTTCTTTACTGGTGTGTACAGTAGAGTACTCCAGCATTGTGAACGTAGCGTAAATATGTAGGGGATAATAAGTCGATAGAAGAAATGTTCGTTATTTTTTATTTTTAAAATAGTTGAAATTCTTTTGTAAAACAAGTTGTATAACTAATTTTGACAATTGAGGTTTTAAACTTCAGATGGGACTTTTACTAAAACCCATCACATATTCTTAAAAAAACATTAATCAAAGCAAATTATACACTTTGATAATATCAAAAAAGTTAATTTATTAAAAGTTAAAATTAATTTTAACTACAAAAAAAGGGTTTTATTTTAGCATATTTATGCAATTTTTCCAGCATTGGTTCTGGTCGAATTTCGACCGCTGGGCGAACTCGAGTAATAAATAATACATGATGTTGCCAAATCATAAACGCAGATTCGATCTACGACTGGGGTAGGCTATCTAAGGAAATTTTAAATTTTTTTTCGCAATATTTATTTATTTATATGGGGTATCTTTTCGGAGTGAAAACGACATGTTATCGAAATCACAAAGATCACTTTTGACAACGGATTGTATCAATTTCGGTACTTATCTAAAAATCAATAAATCTAGTAATTTATTTATAATTTATAATATTTTTTATTTTCTTTTGCAGTTTTCTTTTCCACTGTGGGTAACTGGACTAAAACGTAATCCGATATTGAAAAATAGGGGTAAGTGTTATAGAACATATTAAATTAAAATTTTAGATAATGCAAAGAGATTTCTATAAAACAAAATATGTATGTACACGCAGGGGAAAAATATAGTTGTAGTAACAATAATCTAAGAGCAACATATTATGGTTAGAATTATGGATAAAGTTAAAACATATTATGATCATTATTAGTAACAAAAAATATCATATTATGATCATTATTAGCATAATAAGGTATCCTATAATGATTAAATGTAGTCCTAATATTTCATTATAATATTGTCTTATTAATCATAATGTGATGTTGTAACATCATATTATGATGCAATAAGATCATAACATTGTTCTAATATGGTTTAAAAAAATCATATTGTAGTTTCAAGTAATCATTTTATAGTTTCAAGTAACCATATTCATGTTATCTATAATGTTTTCAAGTAACCATAATATGGTTTCCAGTAACATTAATTATCAAAAATGTTTTTGTATTTCAATACATATTGTAAATATTTTTATAAAAAATTAGTAACAATTAGTAAGAACTTTAGTCCGACTTTTTATGATAATTTATAGTTACCTCTTACCATAACATGGAATACATATTAATGTTTACGTACATATAAAACATAATATGGTTAATCTGTGTTCGGCGTAAGTTGTACTTATTTTTTTAGTTTTCCCTCCTCCGGTAGGTTATACCTTGCTCAAAATACGAGTATATTGATCGAATTCAAGTTTTTAATAATCAAAATGTATTTTCCTAATTTCATGAGAAATTATAAATAACACAATAGATAAATATTTTTTAAGGGACATCATCAATCCATGTGAAAGAATTTAATAATGCGGATATATTGCTGTACATAATTTGGTTTTGTATACAACTTTGATATAAATAACAATTTAATTATAAATAATTATTTATTAAATTATAATTTAAATCATGGTAAATATTTTGAAACTAAAATGAAAATGTTTTCTAACGTTTAGTTTGTGTGTGAATAAAGAAATAGTTTTAACACGAATTCCAATCTATTCAACACTTTTTAAATAAAAAGTGTTTTACATTTTTTATGCAAATATTATCAAATACATAAAACGTGTACGGCAAAGAGAAAAACAAATAAAAACTAATTCTAAAAACAATTGAAAGCACGTAGTAAGTGTTATGCTATATTCGGTATTAACCGCGCCCTTTGTAATTCTACAATAAATACATTTAAATCGATTATGTATCATGAAAACTCTGGTTTGAGGATACATAATCTTTGTTTAATTAAGTTGTTTAATATTGTACAACAATATAAAGTAATAAAGTATTTAAAATAATACAATGTAAATGGCAAGGAGTGTTCTTTTGGATAGACAAACGTTGTAACAAAATTAACATGCCTTTACATTGAACCGAATAGTTATAGGAAATAATAAATTTTCACAAAAACAACTGGCAACCCTATTCAAATGTACCGTAAGTAAGTGATGATGATGCAAATGCTGATACCGTTAAACGGATGCTACAATTAGTATGTATCGTCTTCCTCTTCTTCCTTTCGCCCTCCTTTTATTATGCAAATGTGTCTGGTGAACACGTTAGAGAAGCTTGTTTTGTTTTTTTTTTGTCTTTCTGCTGCAAATGGAACAATTTAAATGCAAAATGTTTGTAAGACAAGATACAAATTACTTTTTACTAGTATACTATTGTATATTCTCTAGCTATCTCAGCAGCTTATGCACGTTTATTATTTTTTATTCTTTGGGTGATATTACCCCTATATACGGTTATGAACAAATCTACATACAAATATGTATCTAACAACTTTGCGAAGAACTTAACAGAATTCCCCTATATGACATACATTTATACTATGGTACAAAATAACTATACATATTTTAAAATATTATATTTTTGTTATGCATGTATTTATGTACGTCAGCATATAATATAAACTAATTTTATTTATTTACATGAGAAAAACTACTTGAATTTTATGATAACTTAAGATAGTGAGTAGAATTAACATCTCATTCTAGTTTTGTCTTGTTGACATTTGACAAAAAATTTTAGAAATTGCAGTGGGTGTGAATAGTTTCTAAAGTGCCCATAGAATTCTAAATAGAATTTCGGAAAATTTAATTTCAACCACAGGAAATAATGTTAGTCCAGAGATCAAACTGGTGGAGTTTAAACTAGGCCGTATAATATGGGATATTGTGAATCATTAATACAAGGATACATTTCCCATCTGGCAACACATACATATATACTGATCTGAAAGAACAGCTTATTTTTTAAAGCTTATTTTTATTAATTTACAACTCTGTAATTGCGTGTTATGATTGTTTTTAGTACAGAGTTGCAGCGCCTCTGGTGTTAAGTAGGCCAATTTATATTTGTTTTACTTCGGCGACGATTTAGTGTTATGGGGTTACCGACGAAGGAGGTAGTTTTAATAGAAACTTAATAATTACCAGAAATTGATGTTCATTGGCGGCTGGGGATCGAACCCAGGCCGATATAGCCAAGTAATGCTTAGTAGTCAAACGCGCTAACCACTTAAGCTACAAAAGTACCTCATGGTACTTTTTTCGCTGATCTTGTGGCTTCTTTATCATCCTTGTCAAAATAGCCACTTCTCTCGAACGTTAAGTCGATGGAACATACATATTTAGGATAAGCTTGGTAGATTGAAGAAGTATAGCTAAATTTCTGTTCTTACTATGGTACAAAATTCTACATTTTGACTCAAAAATAAACATTGTTGTTTCCACTACTTCACTACTTTAACTAATATTTATGTTTGGAATTGAACTTAATAGCTGTAATTTATATTTATGTTTCAGTTTAATTTGCAAGAATACCACATAATGTTAAACCATGTTTGTATTATTAATTGTTCATGTCAATGGCAATTTGTAGTTTGCTATGTTTACTGTAGTCATGCCGCCATTTTGCAAAATAAATAAGGAAGTCAAATTTGTTTCCTGTAGCAAAGAATTTACTTGTAGCGAAATAGATTTGAAAAGAAAATACCACATTCTACATTTGTGTAGACTTAAGCATTTTATTAACAAACATACTTGAATAAATCCATAGACGTAATAGGTTTATAGCGGCAAATATGAATATGAAGGATACGATGAACATGAATTAATTCAATTCATTTTAATTCGTTTCAATTCATTTCAATTATATTAATTTACATACATAAATTATAACATTTGTCTTTAGTTCTTCATCTTTCTGCGTTTAATCAACTGTAACGAATTGATTAAAGATGGCGATGAGGATAAAGCAGACAGGATGAGAATGAAAACGACGACAACGTTGATTACATTAAAGATTACATATAATGATAATTGTTTCCATGTTTGTAAGTTTTTTTTTTAATAATTAATAAAAATGATGGTTCCAATGATGATGACTGTGGTGGAGGTGGTAATGGTACTGTGGTTTTAATAATTGGTATAATAGAATAAATGTATAAAATAAAATTATTCTGGCATAAAGATACCCCAAAAAAAAAGGAAAGACAAACTTGCGCTAATTTATTAAACGTTTTAATTCAATTAATGTTTCATGATTATTCATTTTGCCTAATTTGAAATGCTGTTTTTGAAATTTGTATATTTATGTATATTGTATGACTTTTTTAATAAAATAATTAATACTATTTGTTCTTGGGGTCTTAAATTAAATTAATTATACTTATGTATTGTTGCTGTACTTGAAAAAATACTGACTCCTTTAAACTCATAATTTCCAAATGAAGAAAATTACTGGCCTAATAACAATTTACATAAATGAAAATAAAAATGGGGACAATTGTTTCATTGAAAGTTTTTTTTTTTCTTTCTTGTCAATTCCTGCTGCGTAATTACTAGCCTAAAGTTTTGCTTTTTTCCCCTTTTTTCTTTTTATAGGCTTTTTAAGGTTTCAGTGAATATAGTATAAAATGTGCCAATAGGGCAAATGACTTTAATATTTCATACTCATTATGACTCTGAAACTATGTTTGTGCTTTTACTGAGTTGATGCCAAAGTTTTGTACTTAAATAAAGAAAATAACAAAAATAACAAAAGAAGATAGTTTCCACTATGGCTGACATTTACAAAATATACAATCTGTACTAAAACTTACATTCTGTATACACACATACATTAAATCACTTATACACTCTCTCATACAGACAATAACCCTGTATTTCTGGGTGTCTGTCCTAGGATGAATCGTACACAGAGGGAAAAAGAAATATACATGCCTGGTACCAAATTGACATCAAAGTGTTTATAATTTTCCAATAACATCCGTTCAGCTCTCTGTTGGCAAACGGATTATTTGTCAATAGTGAGCTTACCACGTTTGTTAACGTTTAGACAACGGATGTGTATAAAATTTAGATTTCGACAACAATACATAGTGTTGTCGTACGTATGTATATACTTTGATAACGGATGTTATTTAAAAATTATAAACAGTTTTGTGTCAATTTGGTGCCAGGCATGTATATTTCTTTTTCCCTCTGTGTATTATTGTTCTCCTTAAGTACAGTACATAATTTTCATACCTGTCATCAAAAAATGTTTTTTATCTTTATTAAATTCTAAGACGCCATGTCTGTCTGACCGTTCGCTTGTCCGTCTGTCTGTAAAAATCAGAGGAGAAGGCTAAAAATTAGGAGAAGAAGGCTAAAATTTTGCACAGATATTCGCTATTAATAAGGTTTGTTTGGTATTGAAAATGAACGATATTGGATTGCGATATCACCAAGCCACCATAAAAGTGTACCCTCGGAGTACAGTCATCAATTAATTAATTAATTATAGAAATTATAATTATCAATAATTGACCCTACCCTCATATAAGATTCCCTTCAGAAAATTATTTCAACGCTTATAACTGGCTTTGATATAAAGAAGTTCTTTAGGAACAAAAATCTCTCTATAAAATAAGTATACATATTTTTCCTTTCAGAAAATTACCTTATGCTTTATAACAAGCTCAAAAATAAAGTATATTGATAATATTCGACAAAAAGAAGTTTTATAGGAACAAAAATCTCTCCAAAATTCCGAACATAATTGACCATATTGCTCATACAATGCCCCCATATGAAATTTCTAGCTAACAATCTGTTTATTGTCAAGAATTATGGAATTAAGAAAAAATTCTACAAAAATTATTTTTTGGAAAATATTATTCTTTATTTCAAATTCTTTAGAGCCCGAACGACAATAGACTCATCCTCAGACCTAAGCCCATATAATAGAACGCCTTTCAAAACTAATTTTATTTTACAACATACGCTTTGAAGGTGAGTATATAGGATTGTACACTCATTCTTGTTCTAAGTGACTTCTCTTTAGACTTCTAAGTAACAATTAATTGACGACTGACTTAACTCTGTAATTATTTTTACGGTGTCTCATAAGAAAATATTCATTTAGGAAAAATACTTTATAAAAGGAATGCATTGATTTTATGTAAAAATACTGGTAAAGAAATACATTGACTCCTTGAAAAACTGCTGGGTAGTATGAGCACTTACACATAGACCAGTCCAGTCCATTTATACCAGTACTAACAATAAATGTTTAAGCATGAACTGATTTGTTACTTTTATTTCAGTTTATACTACTGCCTTCTTTCCAAACAGCCTCTGGCTGTCAGCCAGTCTGTTTGTCTATTCTTTTGTTATCCACATAGTAAGGCTGTCAGTTAGTTCCATTATTCAGTCAGTTAGTCCACTTTAGTTTTTGGCATACTCTTCATTGTGTGCATTTTGTCTGGATATGAAATTTTTTCCCTTCACAGTTATTGTCTTTTCGGTCCATTTTTTTGTTTACTTTAAATTGTTAAATGAAGAGAAAAGTATGAGTATGTATAAAATGTGTTCATTTAGCTAGCAAAGGTGTTATGAATGTTAATGTGTGAACGTGCTTTAAGGGCAAATTTAAAATTTTTAATAAAGGAAAATTTTTAAATTCTATTAAATATACATTTTAAATTTATATGGAGTTTATTTTAAAGTGAGCTGTATGAATCACTACAAAATCTACAAAATTTTTTTTTATATGACAACCTTTACCGTTAAGAATATGTATATCATTTAACAGAATGTTAAAAATCGTTGAACCATTTTTAAATTTTTTGTTTCTAAGACCCTAATAAAGAATTATAAAAACTAATTTGAAACCAAAAGCAATAAAATTGGATAACTAGTTTAGAAAATATATGATGTTAAACTTCATGTCATTAAGAAAATCTTCAAAAATATGAACTTTGGACCTAGATAAAATCTGAACAGTTCATTGCAAATACCTCTCATTATTATTATAAAAATTTAACGAATTCAGAGAGGGTAAGGTCCAAAATATTTTAAAACGAACCATAATAAAAAAATTAAATATTTTTCTAATTTTACTCTGTGCACGTATGATTAATATCTGATTAATATAACAAGTACACTTTAGTATGCCCCTGCATTATTTTTATTGCAAATTTCTTGGGAATATTCACTGTTTGGATAGTAACTTTGATCGCATGGTTCGTATTAATATAAAATATATAAAGTATAGTACAACATTAATACTTGTAAAAAAATATACCCGTTGCAATTATCTTAAATAAAATTCTTCGTTAAATCATGCATACAAATATTTAGTTTTCTTTAGTCAATTGCCCATTACGAAATAATATCCTAAACCAAAAAGCAAATAAATCTTTTTCCTTTTCTACACTAAAAAAAAAACAAAAATAAATAAAACACGAAAAAAAAACTTTAAAAATAATTGAAATTTGTTTTTCTTTTTTTTTCTTCCACATATTATTGCAGATAATTGAGCAGAGTGTGCAAGAAAGCGAATAACACAACGAAGAAGAAATATAAACAGCTTAACGACTTTTTATGGAGGAAGATAAAACAACAAGAAAAGAAATAAAAATCAAATAGCAGAAATCAACAAAGTCTTAATAACAATATTACTTCCTATATCTAAAATAAACCCACTTACAACACTATACACACACCGCACCCACCACATCCTTATTAAAGAAGTAACTGTTACAGCAGAACGAGCTGATTGCGCTTGAATGAGTGGGTTTTCAGAATAAAAAATGTGTAACGATACTAAATGTGAGGGCATAAAACAACAACTAAACCAGTAGCAGTAGGAAAACGAGAAAAATACATACAAAAAAAACCTATAACTAAAACAACAACAACATTAACTCGGAGAAATACCATCACATCAACTATTAAACAAGGATAACGGCAGCCATTGAATATAAACAAATAAACGAACACAAAAACATACATTCAATCTAGTATTCATGTACATATTTACTTATATAGATCGTGTGTGGAGGTGAACGAACATTAACAAGTGAAACAAGGAGAAGGAGAGGACAAAACAGCTTTTCACACAAGTTCAATGCAATTTTATGAACAGGTTTATGTATGCACACAAGTAAAGCTTCCCTATTATTTAGAGACAACTAACACACTCGCTCCTCCCTCTTTCCCATTTGCGACAATAATAGCTCGTTTATTTTCCTATTAGAATGCTAGTGAATGCGTATAAGGACAAGTACGTGTGAGTGCCTGGAATTTAAATGAATTGCATGTGTCTAAGTGAGAAATTGTGTTCAATGCGGCTTAAATCAAACATGCAAACAGCATACGACAACAACAATTCACATGTGCAACAATAAAATATTGCTAGTCGGTTTTACATCCAACTGCAACTAACAGTTTTTACTATACGGAACTTAATTGTCCTGTTAAAGATAAAATTAAACTACAACAAATATTACAGTAAAACAAATAAATAGATAAATACTGCAGCCAGAATATACAGACTCATGGCGCCATTGTGTAATAATAATAAACATAATTAATGAGTGTTTAAAACTGGAATTTTTTATAATTTGCTAAAATTAAAAGTCCACCGAGGATTACAATTAAATTTCACTTAAATCGAAAAAAGATGGGAGTAAGAGAAAAAAAACTATTGCAATATTTAGCTATAAATGTCTAGAGGCCACAAAATAAATGTAAAACTATTTAGTTTCATCACCACCATCTCTACTCGACTGAAATCCAGTAAAAAACAATACAATTTTACACAAATAGAAAACTTGAAGGACAACAATGCATAAAAAAATGATACAATACGAGAACAACTACAGCGAAAAAAGTAATAATAGAATTTAACTAGAAATATAAGAAAACATACAAGCACACACATAGAGAGGGAGACATTGTCAATGGAAAATAATAAATTGCAAGTCAACATCATCAGTTTACTTGACAGCAACAATAATAACAATCTACATTACCCAGCAGTTGTATATCGAAGTAAACGCATACTTTGTTGTAATGCAGAGAGTAATTCAGGCATCACTTTAGCGTCCCCAAGTAATTCAGAGAGGAAGCAGTTTCGCCGAATTGTAGGGTAGTTAGTGACAACAAACAATATTGTATAACAAGTAAAATATATATTCTTAAATATTAAATAACTTTATTTTCTCCGTAAACTGTTTGTCTTAAAGAAATATAACTTTCAAAAAAATCTCCGCATTTTTCAAGCTATATAAGAGAAAACTAAATTAAAGATAGAAAAACATTCATATAAAAATTTAAGTAGTTTTTTTTTTCGAAACGAAAGTTCTTAAGTTTCCAGGTTGTATCTGTTTAAAGACATCTCGCAAAATTTCTCAAACAAAATATATAAAGAATAAATAAATATTTAATAAAAGAAAAAGAAACTATACAAAACTAAAACTTGGGAATTGCTAAGAGACTGTTGTGATATAAAGTTAGTTTTAAAAGTATAAGAAAAAGAAAATCTGTTAGTTAAATTTAAACTTAGTTTATTTTTTGAATAATATAATAAGTTGAAAAGCTTTAAGCTTAGTAACTTTTTTCAAAAGTAAGCTTTAAGCTTGCTTAAGTGAAAAGTTATAAACCAGTTTTGGAAATTATTGTATATAATTAACATTTATTTTTTAATATAAAATTTATCTTAATTAGTTTAGAAAATACAGTTTAATTGCGAAAATTATCTTCAAAGAAAAAACAAAACATATACAATTTCAATAAAGACATAGTGGAGTTTTTTTTTAACTAAACAAGTTATTTTTAATAGTAACTTTATAAAATAAATTTAAGAAATTTAGAAATGAATTTAAGATTTTTGCTCCTATATTTATTTATTCTAAATTTGAACACTTCCATCAAAACTAACTAAAAGTTAATGTTATTTATAGAAAAAAAAAATTAGTCAAATTGTTACGAACACTACTTTCATTGTTTCTTTAAAATTATGTTTTAATCATGTGGTTTTCATTTTCTTTCTTGTTTAATTTATACAAAAACTTGCAATTAGTTATTTCTTGAGAAGGAGTTTTTAGAATTTGAACAACAAATGGTTGAACTAACTACTACGGATATTGTTTATCCGTTCTTAATGCGTAAATTACAAATGCTTCAAACATCTACTATATCACAACCTTTACTGCAACAACAACAAGTGTTACCACCGTCTGGTCTCGACAACGATAATATTGGCGAATTCGATTCGGCACCCATCTCCATACAAGATTTTATTGATAGTGTCCAAGTCACTCCCCAAGATCATTACACCACAAATGACTCGTTCACAATAACGGGATTTGCGGGCAACGATAGCCAATTGTTTAATACTACAAATTTTGCCAATCAGACTTTAAATGGCACGTACCCAAGTATTTATGACCAACTCGCCTATATACCCTGCGAAGAGGTCTACGATCCGGACGATCACAATACGATAGTCGAGTTTTGGGTATGTGGCATCTGTCTGAATATAGTCGGTGTCCTTGGCATCATTGGTAATGTTATATCTATGATTATATTGTCCCGTCCTCAAATGCGTTCTAGCATCAATTATTTGCTCATTGGTTTAGCGTGCTGTGATACAGTTTTAATTATAACGTCTGTGCTGTTGTTTGGCATACCGTCCATTTATCCCTACACCGGGCACTTGTTCCTTTACTACAATTACATTTATCCATTTATATCGCCGGTAGTATTTCCGGTGGCCATGATATCTCAGACGGCCAGTATATACATGACCTTCACAGTAACGTTAGAACGTTATGTGGCCGTTTGTCATCCGCTGAAAGCTAGAGCCTTGTGTACATATGGACGTGCCAAAATCTATGTGATAGTATCCATCCTATTTGCTCTCCTTTATAATATGTCTCGATTTTGGGAGGTAGTTACCATCGACACTATTATTCCGAACAGTACGGTGGTTTTGCACTGTGTGCGACCGTCGGCGCTGAGACAAAATCAAACTTATATAACGGTGTATATATTGTGGTGTTATTTCATTGTCAACTATGTCATACCGTTTCTGACGCTGGCCATACTCAACTGTCAGATTTACCGGCAGGTGAAGAGGGCGAATCGAGAACGCCAACGATTGTCACGTTCTGAAAAACGGGAAATCGGTTTGGCGACCATGTTGTTGTGTGTAGTGGTAGTCTTTTTTGTTTTTAATTTCCTCGCCCTGGTGCTAAATGTGTCCGAGGCATTTTATAATTTCATTGATCATTCGCTGGCGAAGATATCCAATCTATTGGTGACCATCAACAGTAGTTGTAATTTCCTTATATACGTAATATTCGGTGAGAAGTTTAAGCGTATATTCCTGTTGATTTTTTTCAAGCGCCGCCTGAGCCGCGACCAACCCGATCTTATACACTACGAAAGCTCAATATCCAACAATGGTGATGGCACTTTGAACCATCGATCGTCGGGGCGTTTCTCTCGACACGGTACCCAACGTAGTACTACCACCACCTATTTGGTAACAGGGGCGAGTAATAGCACTTTAAACAATGGTCGCCTAATGAAAAGTGCCAGTTCGCCGGGCGTTGTCAAAATCAAACGTGGTCGGGCACCATCGCCCGGTCCGGTTGTATATTATCCGGCGCGGGAAGTTCAACGCACCTCGCCCATAATGATGATGTCGAATAACAATACTCCTTTAGGTTGTGATTGGATTGATACGAAAAATAGTCAAATGACTTCAGGGTTCTGAGAAACGGATGCCCCTTTCCAGTTCAGTAATGAGCACTTCAAATATCATGTAAATTTCAACATAAATTGTAAACATTTTATTTAAAGCAAACAAAAAACAAATTTTCTCTTTAAGTTAAACTTGTAGATTTTAGAATTGTAACTTTATTAAACTGTTAATTATTTAAGAAACAACTGAATAGCTTTAATAAATATCATAGATATAGATTGATCCATCCACCCACCCAAAGGAAAAAAAAACTAAACGAACTAAGTATGTATGAGAAAATATTATATTAGAATACCGCTAATTCTCGTAATTAATAATATTGAAAGAACAAAAATACAACAAAACAATAATAGTTGTGTTTTGTTGCTAACGTTCAAAGGCAATTTCATATAAATTTAAAATTTATAAACGTTAGGAGTTAACGTGTAAAATTATACAAGTTAATTTTAACGTCGATAAAAGTGCTACCAATTCAAAAATAAAAATACAAATATTAATGTGTTTATGTCAAACAATAAAAAAATATTTTAAAATAAAATTTAAATCAAAAAAAATATCAAATAAGAAAACCTTTTTTAAGAAAATGTAAATAATTTCAAGATTTAGCAGATTTCTTCTGTGGAGTGATGCCAAGTCAGGTAATGTTCGTTTTGTTGTTAACTTTAAGCGTTAACACTCATTGATAGCAACAAAACACAACTTATGTAAATATTAAACTCTTTGTAAAATTTTAAAATAATTTACCCTTCGAACGAAACAAAATATTTAAATTTTTATTTGTTTATTACACTTTGGCCCAGACAATTGTTAATTGATTTTATTTCACACAATATTTATTCATTTATGGCATTCATCCAGCTCACAAAGGAAACAAAAAATAATTAATAAATTTACATTTTTGTTATGTGATGTTTTAATTTGTTTTCGTGGGCGTTATTTTATTTGGACTCTTTATTTCTTTGGTTTATATTATGATTCAATTTTAACTGAATCCATTAAAAGTTATTGAAAATTTAATTAACGTCCGACAACATGAAGTGAGCGATGGTAAAATAGTTTTTTTTACGAAAAGATAATTAATCAAATTAATTAATTACAAAAACATAATTTCAATACAATTTCTGACAGTTCTAAGGACACAATTTAAAAAAGTTCTATACTAACTTGAAAACTTTAAAATTTCTAATTTGTACTGATATCAATTACAAAACATAACAATTAGCAGCATTTTTACCATTTACCTACAGAATGTTGTCTGGCAACTCTAGCTTAAAATTTTGTTGCATTCAAAATAAATTTAATTAAATTGATGGAATCTTGTTATTTTACACAATTTTTAGTTTTATTTAGAATAATCTAAATCAACACAAATACTTTATTTTATTAAGTTTATGTATTTATTTAAAATAATCTGTAAAAACATACCAGAATGAAAACTATTGAAAATAACGAAATTGAATTGAACTATGTTTATTATACAAATATTAAATAATATTATGCAAAACTGTATCTATTTAAATATTTTATGATTACAAAATAACAAATAAATGAAGAAAATATAAATTATTACTTAAAAAATACTATTTGAAATGAAATTTATTAAACGTGTTTGAATTATATCTAATTTTATATATTTATTTCGGTAGGTATTTTTATACCCTACACCACTATAGTGTGGAGGGTATTATACGTTTGTGCTGATGTTTGTAACACCCAAAAATATTGGTCATACACCTACCTTAAAGTATACCATCGGCTCAGAATCACTTTGTGAGTCGATTTAGCTATGTCCGCCTGTCTGTGTGTCCATGTAAACCTTGTGCACACTCTACAGGTCGCAATTTTCAAGATAATTGGTTGAAATTTGGCACATACTCTTCTTTTGACCCAAGGACGAAGCTTTTGAAGATGCTTAAAATAGGTCCATTATTTCGTATCACTTCAAATATCGGCAGAACTTAGTATTATCTATCTATATATATAAAATTCTAACGTTACTAACTGACTGACTGACTGATTCATCATCGCACAGTCTAATCGGTTGAAGCTAAAGAGCTGAAATTTGGACAGGAGGTTGGTCTCCCACCAAATAGATCCACTAAGATTTTTTTGGAAATTCGAATGTTTAGGGGGTAAAAAAGGGTAAAAACGGGTAAATTATGTAACCTCATATCTCCTAAACTAGAAAAGATACAAAAAAAGTTTAAAGCTTATCGTCGTTCATTTAAAAAATAAGCGGACAGGTGTCTGGTACTTTTTTCAAATTCGGCCCTTTAGGGAATAAACGGGTAAAAACTGTTTATTCCCTGGTACTTTTTTGCACCCCATGCATCTTTTAAACCAGAGAACATCCAAAAAATATTTTTGACTTCATTATAACTTGACGGAAAAATAAAAATATGAATTTAGTACTTTTTGGATATTCGGACGTTTAAGGGGTGAAAATTGTACCTATTTTTGGTACCTTTTTCATAAAACATTGTTTTTGGTTTATTAACTTATACTTATACATAATAGCGGGCTCCCACTACGATGTTGCAACTTTTTGGAATACAATTTTTGTTTCGTTAATGAAAAAAAAATTACCAAAAGGGGTAAAAACGGGAAATTTGATTTTATTCAAACACAATGATCCAATAAAACACTAAATATGCTAATGGGGTGTTATTTGGAACCCCGGTACCAAGTGATATTTTTGGTACTTTTTCATTCTCTAACTGGTACTTTTTGAGTTTTCTATGATATTGAAATCGAAACATGAAATTAATAATAAAGAGACTTTTCGGTACTTTTTCGTTCTACACAGGTACATTTTTGAGATTTCTTTAAAATCAAACCTAGAAACATGTAATTAAGCATGTAGAGCCCAGAGTAAATGAGAATCTATAAAAGGGGACTTTTTGGTACTTTTTCGTCCTTCGATTGGTACTTTTTGAGTTTTCTATAAAATTTAACCTAGAAACATGAAATTAAATATGTAGAACTAGAAGTAAATGGGAATCTATAAAAGGGGACTTTTTAGTACTTTATCGTTCTTCAAAAGGTACTTTTTGAATTTTCTATAATATTGAACCTAGAAACATAAAATTAAGCATGTAGAGCCCGGATTAAGTGAGGGGTCTTTTTGGTACTTTTTCGTTCTTCAAAAGGTACTTTTTGAATTTTCTATAATATTGAATCTAGAAACATGAAATTAAGCATGTAGAGCTCGGAGTAAGTGAGAACATATAAAAGTTTACTTTTTGGTACTTTTTCGTTCTTCAAAAGGTACTTTTTGTGTTTTTTTTTTATAATATTGATCCTAGAAACATGAAATTAAGCATGTGGAGCCCGGAGTTAATGAGAATCTATAAAAGGCGCCCTTTCGTACTTTTTCGTACTTCGACTGGTACTTTTTGAGTTTTCTATTATAATGAACCTAGAAACATAAAACTAAGCAGTCAGGGACTTGAGTGAATGAAAATTTAAACTGGATTATTTTCTGGTACTTTTTCGTTCCTTAACTGGTATTTTTTGAATTTTCTATAATATTCATGAAATTAAACAAAATAGGTCTTTTGGTACTTTTTCGTGCTTCAACTGGTACTTTTTGAGTTTTCTAAAATATTGAATACATAAACATAAAATTAAACATGCGGTATCCTAATTGAACGAAAATTTAAAAAGGATACTTTCAGGTACTTTTTTGTTATTTTACTTATACTTTTCGATTTTCTATAATATTAAACGCAGCTTCCTGATGGTATAAAAATCTGTATGCGAAGAATTTCTGAGTTAATGAATCGTTCTTCAACTGATTTTTAATTTTCTGTAATATTGAAAGTAGAATCATAAAATCAAACTTATAGAGTTCTATAAAAGGGCACTTTTTGATATTGCAGATATAATATGATATTTATATTATTCCATTACGATGAGGGTAGCGAAGCACACTGGGTATAGCCAGTAATAATATATAATAACATCAAAACGTGTGAGACACATAATAAACGAGATATTCGCTAAAACAGATTTTTGAAACCTTTGAAATCCCCAATATCCCGTATTGTATGGGAGGTGCAAGAAATTGCAAACTGATTTTTAACATTGTTTATCCTTTTACTAAAAACTATGTTTATTAAAAAATAAAACTGAAAACCATAATTTGTTCGATGTTGTCAGAAATTTTTAATTTAGTTTATTAATTTAATCGTGTTTTACACAGACAGATGGACAGAAGTATGAATGGATAGACGGCATAGCTAAATTGACTCAGAATTCCATAAGGATCCAATGATAGTGATGGATGGCACCAGTGAGCATGTTAAAAGTGTGGATTATCTTTCTAATAATAAAGCATTTTTCCTTTTCCGTTTTGTTATCAAAAAAAGTGATTTTCAGAAAGAGGGCTTATATGAGGGCAAAGATAAATATGGTTCTATTCGTATAAATTTTCGGTAAACATAACAACTTTTTCCCCTATTTGTATGGTTTTTATAAGATCCCTATACCAAAACTTATATGTCTGACAAATATTCATTATTATTCATTACAGTTTGGTATAGAAAATTAGCAAAATCGATCCAATAGGATTTTGCTGATTTTCAATACTAAACTGTACCGGATATTAATGAATGTTTTGGGTTAATTTCGTTAATTTCAATTGCTTCGTACTACACACGGAATGACAAACTTATCTATCACCACTAATGGTGGTGAAGGATATAAAAGTACGTTCAAATCTAGTATAATAAGTGGATTTGAATCTATCAAAAAATGTATAGGAAATCTACATGAGTTCAACTTGTTTTGCCCAAAAAACCTCAGTGTGCTTTAGTTTTACTTACTTTGTTGAATTTATTATGTTGAATTAAACTGGTGGAGACTAAGGGCGGGTTTTTGAGATTAGTTAATCTAATCATAAATTTAATCTGATGTTAATCCCCTTTAATGTTTTTGAATACAAGATTAAATTTCGCAGTATTGCCATACAAAACAACAAAAATGTCACGGTTTGTTATCAAAAAAGTTCATGTTTTATAAAAAAGAAGAAGACAATTGAAAATTTAATATGAAAATTAATGAAAACCTAAATTTAAAACCAAAAAAATGTATTTTGGGTGTGCATAATTTATACCAATCAATAAATAGAACATTTTAATGTTTATATTTATATATTTTGCATTTCATGCTTAAGTTTAAACCACCTTCATTGGGCGCTTAAACTTGCAAACAAAATTAACTAATTGAGTACTTAAAGACAACTTTCGAGGATTAATTTTAATTTAATCGCTAATCTTTCACCTAAAGATTGGCTCTAAATAATACTTTTGATTTCTATTTTGTACGTGGCTCCAACTTGGAATAACCTAGCACTTTGAGTTTTTAAATTTCGCAAACAAAATTTAGAAGTCTGAAGAAAACTTAGATATACATACATA